TCAGATTATATATAGGTATAACTACTTGTAAGAGAATATAAGGTTAATATTATATATATTGCTTTTTAGATACCTATTTTTAATTTACTATAAAATTACACTGTATTTTATGTTATTCCAGTAAATAATAGAGTAGACTACTTCTAATTAATGCTGTATGCTGTAAATACTTTATAATTATAGTATATAAAATATCTCTTTAATATCTTTAAAGCTTGTTGAGGTATGAGCGTACAAAAAGACGCATTTTGTATGGGTATTCTAGTGATCGGAGCAACCGGGTGATCGAAACAGCCGGGAAATACGTTAACTATTGAATTAGGTGTCACCAGTCTTTGTAGTTGTGCTTTACTTCTAGAAGCTCAGAGGACATTATACTATTCTCTACTGCAATTGAGCAGCATACAGAGCATACATATTCTGAGAGTATGATAATCATATAATGCCAACTCGCAGTGAATACCTAATTAATCCAACTCGTAGTAGGTTCTACTGTATTGACGTGCTGTCGTCATGGTTACATAAGGCAGGTGATGGTTGACGCCTCGATTGATAACCTTGATTAAGGTAGATGCTATCACTGCGCCTATCCTTGGCAATTCGCAATCCGGGGGGTCCTTGACGAACTGCTGATGCAAATGCGGTGCCTGGGGCCGTGATCGGGTACCTGCTGGACTTCCTCCAGCACCTGCTGGAAGCTTCCTTCCCGAATAGTCAAGTCCATCCAGTGACCAGGTCCAGCCGGGTCCTCACACACCATTTGCTGCTATTATTGTTGCAGAGCTAAGTGGCATCATTCTAGCACATACGGAGTACGATAGCATGTTACAGAAGAGTTGGGCATAGAAATGGATAGGAATGAAGGCGATACCTACCTGGGCAGGTACCAGTGGTATATCGTACGACTAGACAAGATGAAACGAGGCAGTTGGGATTGAAATGTTGGATGACTCGACATGTGCTCGCTGCTGCTGCTGATTGGCGAGAATATTATTCATCACCACCTGGAACTGCCCAGGTTATGGAAACGTCAACATTAATTAATATTGCTGACCAAGGCACCAATCAGATGCACCTATCAAGGCAGAGGTCCCTTAGGGCACGGCACTACCTGCGTGGAAGGCTTCCGACCGGAGAACGTGGCCGAACAGACAACGCTGGCTTGATGCCGACCCCGGCCATGCTCCTACTGCAGAGTTGGACTCAAGTTTGATGCTGTTAGGTAATGGATATCCGCAATTGCTGGCCTAGACAGCTTGGTGCTGCAACTAGGCACCATGCCCGCGCATCGTCTTGAGAAGCCTAGAACCGTGACGGCGGACCAATGTTGATCGTCGAGCTCGGGGTGCTGTTGCTGAGAGAAGCTGTATACCAAAGGAGCAGCCAGATTGCAAGCGTCGTATGACGCCTGCCCCATGCGCCCGCAGGGTTGCACAATGCGGGGTACATGCGGTGACAGCGCAACGTTAGACTGGCAGCGAGGCCAGAACCGGGGATTTGCGGCCTTGCCCAAACAGGTTGCAGCGAGGAGAGACAGTCACGCTTCAAGAAAAATTTTCCCGTTCGAGGTGGAGGCTGCAGGGGGGAGCGGCCTTGGCACTCATCAGGGACGCCGCCTCGCGTCATCGCCGGATCCAGAGATCGCCAAATAGGGCTGTGCCGCTGCGCCGTCACGCTGCGTATTGCCGCTGTCACGTATTATTACCCCGGCAATGCGGCATCGCTCGACTCGTCAAGGCGGTCTGCTGCACCACGTGATCGCTGGCAGCTGACCACGCTGACCGGCTTACTCCTATGGCGTGCTTCTACTGGCACGAAAGATGAGCTGACAATTACGACATACCGGATGAGGAAGAGCAGGTTGCGATGTAGTCTGAATGATTTCGCATTTTTCTGCTACGAGTCATATACTAATATCGAGTCTAATTTTCATGAAATTGTGACTGATCAGAGTAAAGAGATGGAAGTTGCAGTCTGATAGACTCCGACCACTGGCTTGCTCCCGCCGTGGCTGCTGCATGCGCCCGCCTGACTGGCCTCCAGAATCCAGATCGATCCTTGATTCCTTGGGCTGGGCTTAGCCGCCCCAGGCCTCTCTCGCCATGTCGCGTCATCATGCTCGCTCAGACCACCATCAATCTAGACTTCATGATGATTCATGCATCTGTCCACATGGTCCGGAGTACAGACAGCACTCCGGACTGTGCACTGTGATCTGTGCATGCAGCGCTAGGACGCGACATGAAATGGCTCTTGAGCTCAGTAATACGGCGCATCGTCTCCCTGAGAAAGCTAATTTGAATTGCACCATTGTTGACTCTATTGATCTTCTTTGTTGTCAAGCAATTTCTTTGAAAATTCTGCCTGCTTAACTCTTCTGGCCAGATGGTTTCCGGAAGCGGCGTCGAACCATCCAATCAGCTGCGAGGCACGGGCTGGAAATTACCGTACCGTCATGTCTTGTCACCAGCGCGTAACGGTGTTTCTCCACATGTGACGTCCGCGGCTGGAACGCCCCACCGCATCCGTAGATGTAGAACCTCGACTTCTTTTTTTTGGAAAAGAAAGTGCTGGAATGGGGACATTTCCAGGGCCACATATCGTAAAAAGAATGCGTCTAGACAGCCAGCTGTGTCACTGGCTAGGAACTTCCCGTGCAGAGTGGATAAAGCCAAGTTAAGGTTTTCACGCCCCATCGATCCTTGCTGATGCTCCATGGAACATACAAAGAGCCTGCTCTCGCCATCTGCGCATAGCTACATATGTACCTCAGTATCTGGTCTTTTGCAAACTCCTCCATCTCTGTGGTTTAAGGAACTTCCCAGCGCTGTTGTTTGTGGTCAACAACTGGTGAATACCGCCAGAACAAAGTCCGTGATTTATTCACTCCACGTCGGGTTGGCATCTCTACCTCAACCACCCGCTCGGAAGGAGCCACTTCCACTGCGCTCGCTCACCCTTCCAAGTCTTCGTCGCAGTTGATTATGTTTTGGCCTTCTTGTGCCATTTCGCAGCTGTTCCACCATCGCACCGCGTCATAAAGCGTCCCCGACGCAGGCGTTCCTGACTGGAATATTAAGCGCGCCTTGAACCAGAGGCCTCGAGGGTTGGTGCCCCTCCTTAAAGCTGTCTTTGCTTGTCTTCATCAGTCGTCCCACTTGACAACTCACACTCGAATCGACCAACTTTAGTCCTCTGCGACCCTTTCTACTCCTCTTTCTCCCTCCCTCTTCCTCTCCTTTCTCTCCCACCAACCGATCCGTCACCATGCCTGGCCGTCTTCTCTCGAGCCTTGTTCGCTCTACGTCGCCATCTTCGGCGTGGACGCACTCGAATTCCTCCTCGACTTCGTCGGTCAACGAGATTGCTTCCTCGAAGAGGAATTCGTTGCATCTGCATCCAGATGGCAGCCATGAGTCCTCCGAACGCCGGCTGTCCTTCTCCATGGATCACATCATCCACCCGAACAAAGAAAAGCGGCTCAGTCTTGGACGGTCATCCCGCTCCAAAGATCGTTCGGGCTCCAAGGAGGATTCTCGTGCCTCCGGGGCAAAGCTGGACATGATTATCGAATCACCCCCTCTCGTCTTCTACGGCACTCCGGCCAACTCGAGCGGTGCACTGTTCTCGGGGCGCCTCCGCGTCGCGGTGCCCGAATCGGCGGGAGTGATCACGCTGGATAAGTTCGACATGCATCTCACATTGAGCATTACCACCAAAAAGCCCATTTCCAGAGACTGCCGCAATTGCTCCACCCGGACGAACGACCTGTGCTACTGGGACTTCCTGACGGAGCCCATCCACCTGAAGCCCGGCGACCACGACTTCCCATTCAGCTATCTGTTCCCTGGCAACCTCCCCGCAAGTGCGCAGGGATCGCTCGGAACCGTTGAGTATTCGCTGTCCGCTCGAGCTATCTTGTCCACGGGCGAAGAGATTACCATGAAGACCCCGCTCACGATCCAGCGCGCCATCCTGCCGGGCAATGACCGATCTTCGGTGCGCATCTTCCCTCCCACGAATCTGACAGGTCGTGTTGTGTTGCCCTCCGTCGTTCACCCCATTGGGTCTTTCCCGGTGCAGATGACGCTCAGCGGCATCGTGGAAAAGGGCGAAGAATCTCAGACTCGATGGCGACTGCGGAAGATGATGTGGCGGATCGAAGAACACCAGAAGATTGTGTCGACTGCCTGCGCGAAACATGCCCACAAGATCGGAGGTGAGGGCAAGGGCGTTCTGCACCAGGAGACCCGCATTATCGGTCACAACGAGGAAAAGAGCGGGTGGAAGACGGATTTCGATACTGCCGGAGGAGAGATCAACATGGAATTCGAAGCGTGCATCAAGCCAGGAAGCAAGCCCGTGTGTGATCTCGAGACGCCGGGTGGCCTGGAAGTGAAGCACAACCTGGTCATCGAGCTGATTGTCGCGGAGGAATTCTGTCCGAACAAGAATACGAAACTCATCACGCCCACCGGGGCCGCTCGTGTTCTGAGGATGCAATTCAACCTGCTCGTGACGGAACGGAGCGGACTGGGCATCAGCTGGGACGAGGAGATGCCGCCCATGTACAACGATGTTCCAGCCAGCCCACCGGGATACTCGGCGATCGACCCGAATTGCGCGATGGAGGATTATAATGGCTCGCCGCTGCCACCACTCCCGCAATACGAGGAATTGGAGCGGATGGACTGCTTCCGGCTCGAGTCGAATTCCAAAACCAATGACAGTTCGCAGCCATCCGGTAGAAACGACGAGAGTCAGCAGCTCACCCGGCAACAGACACGACTGACCGTCGACGATCTAACCGCGGAGCCTCCAATGATGGAATCCCGCAGTCGCGCACCACCAGACGAGAACAATACTGCCGAGGCACCTGAACCAGGCAGCATGCAGTAACCTTTACCCTTTACGCGATGTGTCTATCCTATCTCTACTTAATAATCTTAATATCATCAACCTTACGATGACGATGTTACGACATTACGGCCATTCTGAAAAGTTTTTTTTTCATTCGACTGTTTTTATTATTTTCAAAGTGGTATCTGGGAGGAACACAAGGGAAAGAAAGAAAAAAGAGGGGGAAATTTTCACTCTTCTTCATCCTGCATTATTTCAACACGTTTTTCTTTTCTACTCTGCAGCTCAACGACACGGAATACTCTCCTCCTTCTCTCCCTTCGCTCCTTTTCTTTCATTTCCTTTCTTTTTTTGTTTTCTTTCTTTGGTCAATCGGAGTCAAAACGGGCGTTTGTTGGCGGTGGGCGGCGGTGTGTGTGATAATTATTAGCCTTGACTTTTTTTTCCTTTGTTTATACTCTGATTGATTGACGTGACATGACGCAGACAGATATACCCCAATACCAGAGTACCAGAATACGAGAATACTTTTACTATGAATGTTGATTATTGTTTCTTTCTTTCTTGATTACTGTTCTTATCTTCTTATCTTTTCTACCTACGTAGGGACGGTACATACAGTAAAATACATTACATATGTACAATCAAACAAATCCAACAATCAAGGAACAAAGAGAAAAGAAAAAGGAAAAGGAAATCTTGTTTGTCCCGTAATTTCTCATCCATTCCATTTAGTATACTCTAGAGATATAGGTATTAATCTATATTGGAGAACGACGACGAGGATGAGGACAATGTTCCATATTCGATGTGAGAAAAGTAACAAGGAAGAAAGGAATATTCCAAAAAAAAAAAAAGAAATGGGGGAAAAAAGAAAAAGAAAAGAAAATAAAGAATGGATGGAAGAGGACATATCTAAAAAAAAGGAATGAGAAGAAAAAGGAAAAGGGAAATGAAATGAAATATCTCATATATATACACAGTTCATCTTGTTACAGCATGTTACAGTATGTTACTGCATGTCGACAGTTCACTCCACAGCCAACACAGCAACACTCCACGCAGGCAGAGTAATAGTAAACTTTCCTGGCGCACCATCAGCAGAGCTGACATTGCTGGTCTTGGGTGTGACAGCATTAGGGCTGCTCCAGGTGTTGGCTGCAGTAGCGGCGCCGGACAGCGTCGTCAGTCGCCCGGTTTCTGTCTTGGGGATGTTGACGGTGACGGGCTGCGGGGTAGGGCCGTAGTTGGCGAACTTGACGTAGTATGTCTTGTTGTCTGAGGTTTTGGAGGCGACGTAGTAGACTGCATTGTCATTGAAATTAGTAAGTCGAGGCGGACCTGCTGCCCTGGCTGTGGCTGGTGTTTGTTGGTCTGTACGTACCTGGTCCAAATGACCCGTCTGATTCCACTGGCAGAATGGTGCTGCCCCGGTTCACTGAGAACATCTGCTGTACGTAGTAGCTGGTGCTCCGGACAATGCCGTTTGGGTTGTTGTTGAACATAATCAGGTTTGGCACGTGGTCCTGATGTCAGTCAGTCAGTCTGCATATATCAGTCTTCTTGATTTTTCGTTTGCGCATCTCACATTCCATGTGTACCCGCCGTATTGCTGCAGCAGCGGTGCATAGGCAGCCATCTTGACAACATCGCTGTTCCTTTCCATGCCAATCATAAAGACAGCTTCCGCCACAGACCCCTGCATGATCGGCTGCGCGAGCTCGGTCCCGTTATCGAGGGAGATGCAGGCATATTCGCCGACAAAGTACGGGAAAGCCCGGTCCACGTTGTCGAACTTGTTGAACATGCTCACAAGCTCCCCCGCCGGCGAGTACGTGTGCCAGTCCATCCAGATTCCTTTTGGCTTGGGATTTGGGAGGTACTGGTCCGTGCTGCTAATGATGGTCAGATGCGGGTACTTGGCCTTGATTGCGTCGTGGAAGGCCGTGAAGCGCTCTGCATATGAGGGCCCGCCTCCATTGAGGTTGTCCTCGTTGCCGATTTCCACGTATTGGAGTGGCCAGGGGTCAGGGAAGCCATGAGAAGCACGAAGCTTGCCGTACGTGGTATCCTTGTCTCCAAGGATATACTGCAATTGTTAGCGAAACCGAACAAAAAGATCATCCAGAGGCACTTACCTCAAGCTCGTTCAAAACGTCGTCGATGTAGGGCTTCAAAGCGTCCCCAGTGATAACTTGAGGGCTCGGCCCTCCGATAGTCAGTCCATCCCAGACACCGAGAACTGCCGTCAAACCCATGTCCTGGATCCACAAGAAATATTCATTCAGACCTGTCATCGCATTTAGCAATGCTTCATACACAGATCACTTTTAAATAAAGCCTACCAAGTGCATCTGTGTTGGGATACCCCCAGTTACCTTGCCGCCCAGGACGGCTCGTCAGAGGCCCAATGGTCTCATTCCACTTCCAGCGCGTTGCCGGAGTTAATCCTTCGCTGGCCAAAAGTCAGCAAGGATCGCCAGATACAGACCGAAGCAACTCACAGATTGTTTCCTCCGGGAAAGCGCAGGAAAGAACCCTTCATGTCAACCAAAACATTTGCAATTTCCGGTTTGAGGCCATTAGGTCTATAAAATAGGTCAGCATCAGCGACACAATCCTGGAGGAATACAAGCAATCGCACCTGTCGTGGAATGTTGGTGGGTAGAGCTGGATCAGGTCAAAATTCAATGACTTTCCCGCCACCTTGGACGCGTCAAAGGTCAGTTCCCAGATGTTGTTGCCGTCAGGAGCCTGCTTCACTGGATATTGCGTCTCGACATAGGTGTAGCTGGACGAGTTGCTCTTGACGCTGATCGTTTGCGATGCATACAGACTGCCGCTGCTGGCCCCCGCAAGGCGAAGCGTGACGTCGCCATTATAGTCTCCCTTGATGTAGAAGCTGTTGGTGTAGTTGGCCTCGTTCACGGGAATACCCCAGTAACCCGAATTCGAGAAGCCAACCTTTCCGGAGGCGTTGGGCGGGACAGTGACCTTCAGAGACCGCGTTATCGCGCTCGAGAGAGGGTTTTCCGTATCCACGGCCAACGACACATTCCCGATTGGAGCGTATGCAGTCAAGCCGGGGTTTGCACCCTGGAAGCCGTTGTTCTGCAGAAGCTGACTGTGGATCCCTCCATCACCAGAGTGGTTGATATCCTGCAGGTGTCAGCACATAATCAATCACGCTATAGTGAGCGTGGACATGGTTATCGTAACTCTCCACCAGCAGGCGGTTTCACAGCCAGCTTGGCAAAAACTCACCTCGAACATGAACCCATACAAGATAGGGCTGGATTTATTGCCGCCAGACGTCGACACCGTAAGTTCTAAACCAGTCACTGGCTGTGCAAGCTGGGCGACTGCTAAGAAAAGCCCGCAGGCCAGGAGATTCTTCGAAGCCAACGACATCTTTGGAAAAGATTTGTCGTTGCTTCAAGGAGCTTTTCGTTTCCGCCTAGCTTGAGAAGCAGCCCTTTGGCGGCGCTGATACAAAGCGAATTGAGGAAACTCGACAATTATGCAGAGGACGGCATCGCTTTATAGCGAGATCTGAACGCTGTAAAATTAAAAGAGGCAGTGTCGTCGACAAGAGCCGCCATCCTTGCTAGGTATTTCCGCTCCTTCGAACTGTCGATCGACGTACGGAGTAGTCAAAAGAAGGCCTGATCTCTAATGACCCACAGGTTTATCCATGTACAATGCTCCTATCAAGTTCTTACCATTTATCTCGTGACGCCTGTACAGGGAGATTTCCTCAGGAAGACCGCAATGGGGCAGGTCAGTATGGGAATTTACACGCTATACGAGAAGGAGGAGCTGCCGTGTTGAGAAGAGTAGTCAAGAACTCGCCCACAGACACGGGAAATGGCAGTCAAGGGTTTGCAGATTTGTTGCTCTTGCAGCAAATGAGAGATGACCGTCCGGATAGCTTTGGCCTCTCCGCAGAACTCCGTGGGATGAAATGTATTCCATAACAAGTAAAACATCTGGGTGAGTGGATAAGGTCGAAATTAAACGTGGGAACGGCCGGCATAACACAGACAGTACTGCAGGGTTGATGTCCAATACAGTGCTCACTCTGCACAACCTGACACCTGCAGGCGAGTCACTCATCGTATGCAGGGGAAATTCGATAGTTCCTACGCCGCTGATACCCCAGAATACTCCCAGCATACGGAGCATAGTGCTGGAGGGAGTCCATCTTGCATTCGGGAGTCCGTGGATCGCAGTCAGTAGACATGATCCAACCAGAGTGTTGTGCCTGGGAAGAGCGGGTAAGCAACGGCGGTGATCGGCAAGATCGTGGCTTTGCATCTGAGCGTCAGCGCATCCATGGATGCCAGAAAGGAAGGCGGCGGTGATCCTCATACTCAATCGCTGCACGGGCCCCGAATATCCACCGAGGAAGAATTCTATGCCGAGCTGGAGTGCTGCAGTTCACTCAAGTCCTGGTTAAAATTTCGAAGAATCGTCAAGTCCATGGGCTTTCAGTCTTATCAGCTGTTATACGAAGTCTTTCAGCTGTATGGAGATGCAGCAAGCAAGTGCATTATCGATGAACTGTAGTTGTAATTGTAATGACAATGTCCACTGCGTACTCCGCAGTGTACCTGCCTAGGTAGGTAGTTGACAAGATTGGAAAGTGCTCTCCGCCTCTGCCAATCACGTGTCTCCCTCGGAGCAGGTGACACTGGACTAACCTAATCTGCCTGTCCCGTGACATACGGAGTATATCCAGCACGTATAGATTTATCTTGACTCCCACAGGACCATCCTCTGCTGACCGAGAGTTCTGGCTTGTTCTCCAAATTTGGTCGTCTGCTGCTTCGACAGCTTCTCTGGTAATTCCTCTGGGCCATCGAAGGGCATCAACGTGGCGGACCGCATCACGATGGCGATGCCATTCCCATTGACGCTGCCTTGTGCCCCAACCATTTTTCGTTTGTTCGATGAAAATGTCGGTCGTATTCAGCAACTAGAGCGTGCTATTTTTGTCCCATGATAGTCACAACCTTCGATCACAGCTTTACGCACTTCCCCTGATGCGATTTTCCCTTGTAACGTATCTAAACGCTCATCCTGTAATCCTCATCTAAAGTCCGTGTTTGTGTCTGAGTCTCCGTCTTGCGCAGAGATGGGTATATGAGGGTAGTAGAAGTAGGCTGGGATTTCAGCTTTTCGGACTCTTTATCTTGCTTATTCTCGATCTCTAATGATATTAGCTTCGATCTTGGTAGAGAAAACGATGGTGGGCAAAGAAAGATGAAAGGAAGTCGAGTGAGATGTTGAGTGAGACATCGAGTTGCAGGCAAAGGTGGAGGCAGGAAGGTTCAGTAGAGGACGGGATAATACTGACAACCTACATGAGGAAATGAAACCAGGCTGCAATCAAGTGTAAGGCATAGGCCTGAGTTAAGAAACCAACTGGTGCCTCTTGAACAGTTGAAGTTTCGCACTAGTGAGGACGAACAGGCCTTTTGCACTCGATCTCGAGGAAGATGAATTCTTTGAATATCTCAGACTCCCTGGAGAGGCTACTCTATACGCTTTGCACAGTCTGATGAGACCAATGGACAAAGCCTTGCCCCTCGTATTGGACGATGGTCAGATCGAAACAATCGGCAAACTCTAGATTATTCCGTATCCATTCCACAGGACTCCCCAACCAAGAGGCGCCAAAACGGCCAGCACTGCCGCGCCCGCTGACATCTCCAGCACGCACCATACCCACAGGGTGCCGATCGCCGGCGCCCGTTTCATGACCGCATAGTATGGGGAGTCATTCGTGATCTGGATCAGATAACTGCCCAGGCACACGGCCGGCGGAAGAAATAGCATCGTTCGTAGGGAGGGAATTAGCTTGTCCCAAAAGCGGCGCGTCGAGGTTTGATCCGTTTTCTGGGATTTGGCCTTGGAGCGGTTTCCAAAGGGAATGATGTGTCCGTGAGCGAGGTGGATGCAAAAAGTCAGGACTGGAAATGCAACTATGATAGACTCCAGCGCCAGTTGTCGGAAAGGGATCTTTTCCAGGTACTGATGTGCGGCGAGGAAGGCGAGAGTGAAGTGCAGAGTCGTCAGAGGGAGCGAAAGGAGGAGGGTGTCGACAAGCGGTGGCAGAGGGGCGTCACGCTGCTGAGAAGCGCTGTCTGACCCTGGCTGGCCTGAAGAGGCGTCACTGTCAGGCGGGTTGAAGCGCGAAACCTTCCCATCCGGGGTGATCTGGACGAATTGGGTCTCCGTGGATTCGGGGTTCAACAGTGTCGATTCCGCGGCGGCTGACCCCTTCCCATTCTTGCCAGCCAAGGCCTGAAGCTCTTTCTGGCGTTCTGCGGCAATCTCGATAAGTGTTTTTCCTTGCCGCTTGTCTCTTGAATCCGCAGGCGGAGGATGAGCGAGGGGGATAGACGACGGATCGAACGAATCGGCAGAGGAGGTAGAAGAAGAGGCCGCAGCCGCAGCAGCGCGTCGCTGTTTCCGATTTCTGGGAGGGTCCATGGTCCGGATTACTCTAACTGGACAAATAAGCAAACGCGTTCCATCTGCTGAGCAGAGGAGTTCCGGTGTGGTCGTCAGTGCAAGCGCGTGGTGTTGGAGCTTGGTGTTGGAGACGCGGAGTTGGATGCCTCGCGTCGGCAGCTTCGGCGGAAATCGACCGCAGCCAATCGCATCGTCGAGCGACACTAAGCTCTGTATGCCCCAAGATATATTCTTGATATGAGCAAAAATAATTCATTAATTTAAAAAAAAAAGAAAAAGAAAAATTGACTAGGAGAATAAATTAAACTATCGAAAATATAAATCCCATTTCCATTTTAAATCTCGTATCCTCGTAGATGTTAAGTATTTTATGATGGTAGATACTAATCGACCAATCAACACCGTCAACTCCACCGTTGGATGTATGTGCCCGAGATCGTTCCGCCTACGCATCTGGTTATGCTACTTTCTCCTCAAGTTCAGCCCGCCTGGTATAGAGCCGGACCAGCCACTACGTGGGGATTAATGAGACTGAGGTTGAAGGGAGTCAGGTAAGGATCCGCGTCGGTGATCGCAATAAACATGGTTCCATTGATCGCTGGGTCGCCGAGATAGGTCTCCAGGTTGGGCTGAATCGTGGTGCCGTAAGACGAGTTGAGGACATTCAACTTGGAATAGGTCACGTTCAGCTGCGTGACCCAAGCGACATAGGCGGGAGCGCCGGCCGAAGTCGACGTGATGTAACTGTTGTTGGGTCCAACCGTCTTGTTAGGACTGTCCCAAGCCAATTCCACCAGGCGACCTGGCCAGGAAAGCGGGATGGTACGGTTCTGGGTGATGGCCGGGGAACAGGAAGAGACGTCAGTGCTATTGACACAGGCACTGTCAGCGGGGACAGTAGAATTCAGGGTGTTCATGCCCGCAGTGAGAGTCTCGTTATAACCCCCTGAGCCATTCACTCGCGCCGGGTTTGGCTGGTTCAGAATCCACAAAGCAGGGAAGTTCTGCCAGGCCAGTCTTGTCTGGTTGGCTGGGCAGGACGTGATATACGGAGCGAGAAGCGTCCACGCCCAGGACTGGGGAACGCCGACCTCGAACCATACGGGCATGGGGAAGATGCCGTCAAACTGACGGAAAATCATCTGCTGGCGAGCCTCCGTGGTGATGGACTGGAGCAGCAGCTGAGCGGCCTCGCGGGAATTCAAGTGTGGAAGGAAGCCGTAAACCCCGGATTCTCCAAACCGGGTGAGCTTCTGGCAGAAATCCACGAATTCGCGCACCGTCGTGAACGGGTACTTATAGTCGCACTGCTGGGGAGCTGATGGGCCCAGGATATTGCTGACCATGGTGGCATGCCCGACTTCCTGCTGAGCCATAAACTCGATCAAGAAGCGGTCCTGTGCGGTCAGGCCAGCAGCCTCGAAATCTGCTACCGAGAAAGTGGCAAGCCCGTTCTGGAAGAGATCAAGCTCTATCCATTCTTGGTACAGGGCAAGGGCCTAGAAAGTCAGGATCATTCTTCAATTCCCAAATTGATGAAACACATACCAGGGATTCATAGTCGAAATCACTCTTTGCATTGTAGACTGGCGTGGCATTGGTCCCAATGCCGCCAGCGGGAACATATGGCGCTGGTTGAGCGTCATGGAGGTGCCCATCACTTGGGTATGTTGTAGCCGCTGGTTGAAGAGGTACGACGGCGACGCCGGTTCCAACAGCGCTCGCAGTCAGGGCACCCGTCGTAGTGGGCGTGCCGCTGTACACAAGATGTGGGAGCGACGTTGGATGGCTGCGAGTGGGGGGAGCGCTGGGAGATCCGCCCGCAGCTTCACTAGAGCTAGGGGCAGCAGCAATCCTGGTTCTGGGAGCTGCCAGGGAGAAAGGTATCAAGGCAAGAAAGGAGAGAAAGGTCAGTCGTGTTACGGCCATGATGGGCAACCCTCTCCCAAGACTCAATTGAAGTGGGTAAGTTGAGGAACCTGACAGTCTGAACTTGGCAGGAAGCAGAAGGGCCGAGCAGATAGCTCAAATAGTATTTCAAGCAGCGGGCTTCGTCAGAGTTCAACGAAGTTGAATGACGCCACCAGTCCATAATCTCAGCAAACAACGCGAATGAAAACGGCAGTAGTATCATTTGGAGACAGGTGGTGCGAAGGCAAGACGTCAGCGATGACACGGCAGGCTGTCTGGAGTGCAGCTGCAGGAGCTCCCGGAAGGGACGGGCAGGATGAAGTCAGAACAACGTGTCGTGACCATGCCGACTTCGGCCAGGAGAGAAGAGTGAATTGAAATATGGTGTGCCGACGAAAGCAAACTGCTTAACAAGGAATACTCCAGACGAGCTGTCAATCCCCACAAAACGACCTGCCAGACCCATTCGGCAAGCAGCATCAGGCAGATTTCTCACCCGCTTCTAGCATCCACTGGGGAGGGCAGGATGAATTGGCCAGGGTGTTCCGCAGTCGGACGCTGAATTGACTTTGATCTGCAGCCAAAGCGAATGGACAGTGGACGGAGTGGCGAGATCGAGAGACAGAGTTGGCGGGTTTCCAATTATCATGGCAGAAGCATCAGATCAGACTGGACGCTCCAGAAACAGCGTTAGCAAGCTTCTGCCAATTGACGGGGAGGAGTGGGATCAAGCTTCGACTTGTAGTTACGTCAATCGGGAGCGGACGCTCCCCAGCGCTGGCTGAAGCTCTCCGCGCGTTGCCGAAAAGCCTGCATGCGCAGGAGAACAGGAGCATCCATCCCAGTCTCTGCAATCGAACAAACTCAATTGCGATTCCGATGCTTCCAGCAATTGAGTTCTGCTGGCCCAAGGGACGGAGCGATGACGTCGATGCTTGGCGGCGGGATAAATTTCCGAAGACTCTGAATGCACCCTTGTCAATGATCGCACAGATCGATAATCCAGAGGTTGTTTCCATTGGCAGGGTATTCAATGAAGTATAGCTACATTAAGAGTCGTGAAGCTGGCATCGCAATCTTCGATCTCCGTCGGCGGGGTCGGGACGTGACTGGGTCGATCGACCAATCACGATGCGGTGCTGAGGATGACCGAAAAAGGAAAGAGGGGAAACGACCTCACCTCGAGCAAGATGTCTCTCTGTCAGCATCCATGATGTCTGCAGGCGGGAAGAGAATTCTGCGAAGATATACTGTAAGACCATCGAGATTGCTATAAATACTCCAAAAGTGGGAAAGGCAACAGCCTCACCTCTGCATCGCACCTGCCTCCTCCAGCGACCTGCGCACCTTCCTGGACAGGACATCGTAGTCGGAGACAAGATGACAAATCAGCAGTGGAGCCCGGCATTACTCCGATATTAATAATAATGTGAATGCTCTGTTTACCTCTTTCTTTCTCTCCAACCCCGCGATTGACGCGTCGCTAGTCCATTGTCGCAATCATCAACTAGGCAGAGTGGGTGCTATTTGTTCGCCCATTCATTTCTTCCTCCATTCATTCTTTTCGTGAGATTTCGAGTCGACTGATCACTGCGTTCGGAGAAAGACGAGCTGCTAGATCTTATACCCATTTTGTAAATACCAAAGACTGCTGTACATATATTGATCCACGACAATGGCCCATCTGGAAGCCTCGAAACTGTTCTCAGTGCAGGGCCTGGTGGCCGTCGTTACTGGCGGTGGCAGTGGTAAGTGAAATAGCACGGCTTTCAATTTCTGCCTTGCAGTCTCCTCGTTAAGTTGGACTTTGATTGATGACGATTCTCAGGCCTTGGCCGGACAATGGCCCTAGCCCTCGACGCCAACGGCGCCGTCAAAGTGTTCATCATCGGCCGTCGGGAGCAGAACCTCAAGGAGACAGCATCGCTCGCCGTCAACGGCACCATCGTCCCCGTCGTCGGGGACATCGGGTCGAGGGAATCCCTGCAGAAGGCGTACGACTTCATCGCCTCGCAGACGGAGCACATCGACCTGCTGGTCGCCAACAGCGGCGTGTTGGGCCCGCGCAGCAACCCGCCCGGCAAGGACAGCCCGCCAAAGCTGCCGCTGGCCGAACTGCGTGAGCACCTCTGGCAGACGCCCATGGAGGACTTTACCAACGTCCAGCACGTCAACATCACGGGTACGTTCTACACGGCAGTTGCATTCCTGCCACTGCTGGACGCGGCCAACAAGAAACGCCCTGCGCCGGTGCCGGGAGTATTGTCGCCCCCGCGCCCGCAGATCATCGTCACCAGCTCCATCGCGGGCTTCCTGCGCGCTGTCCCAACGGGGTTCGCGTACAACTTTTCCAAGGCGGGCGTCAACTCGCTGATCAAGTCGCTGTCGACGGTGCTGGCCGGGTACGACATCCGCGTGAATGGCATCGCGCCGGGCATATATCACTCGGAGATGTCGGACGGCCTGTTCCAGTCGCAGGGGATTCCGGACAAGGGCATCACGGACGGCACGGTGCCGCGGGATACCATCCCTCTGACCAGGGCTGGCAGTGAGGAGGATATTGCGGGCGTGCTGCTGTGGATGGCAGGAACGGCAGGAGGATATCTGAATGGGAATATTGTGGTGACGGACGGGGGGAGATTGGGTCAGAGGCCGTCCACATATTAGTAGGTCAGCCATAAATCATGAACTTGACGGAAGAAAGAGAACTAGATTTAAATCTTTTTAGATGGCGTGGAATATATGCTAGATACGTCAATGGGTATCGATATCGGGATGTAACAACGAAGACATCAATTTCAACCACTCAACAGCAATCCTTCTACTCTAATAGGTAGCTGTCAACCGCTGCACGAGATACTGGCCCGAATTGATACCTTCATACTTCTTCTCTCCGATCCCCTCGCCATACGTGCCCGGCAGCGCCTCGATGAACCTGTCCATGTTGGGGTTACAAAAGTATGCAACACTGTAGCGAGCAGGATACATGCCCGACTCTTCATCACTGCCATCCGGCGGCTCGACGACGCGATGGCGGGTGCTCTTGATGATATCGTTAGACCAGCGAGCCAGCAGATCGCCGGCGTTGACGACGACCGTGTCCGGAATCGGGACGGCATCGACAAACGTGCCCTTGGGACTGCGCACCTGCAGCCCGCCCCTTGCGTCCTGGAAGAGCAGCGTGACGGAGCCGTAGTCGGTGTGCTCGCCGGCGCGCACCTGGCCCGGGTTGTTGCGGAAGACCTCCCGGGACACAGGCGGGTAGTGCAGCAGACGAA